ACTAGATCAGGTTGCTCAGAGCCCCGTCCAACCTGACCTGGAATGTTTCCAGGGATGGGGCATCCACCACCTCTCTGGGCAACCTGGGCCAGTGTCTCACCACCCTCAGCGTAAAGAATTTCTTCCTTATGTCCAATCTCAACCTGCCCTCTGCCAGTTTAAAACCTCAAGAAGGTCTCCAGAGGGTCACTGCTAAAGCATTCACAGGTTTTTAAAGCTGAGGGAGACCCTTCTCCAGCCTGGGGGATGCTCTTCCCGCCCTCCAGACAAGTTTAGGGGTTTTTCCTCTTTTTTCTTTTTTTTTTTTTTTTTTCAATGGAGGCTCCATCATGGAGATGAATTCGGGTTATCCGAGCAGGAGGCAAAAAAAAATGCTGATTTTTATCGTTCCCCTCCCAGTAGAAGAAAAATCTAAGGAAAGCCTAACGCTGGTGATGGGCCAGGGCAGCAGAAGAGTCCTAAGGGTCAAGAAAAGTCCCGAGGACCCAGGGTGCAGCACTTCTGTATTAAAAAAAATAGGTGAATATGGTTGGGTTTAGTAGTTTTTTTGTTACAAAGAGGCGTCCGATGAAACGCCTTCCCCGCTCCTGCAGTCGGGGGGACCGTGCCCTGGTTAACCGGGGGGAGCTCCATCCCCCACTGCAGGCATGGGGAGAACTGGGTTCGGAGGGGAGGTTTCACCCCCAAAAATGACCTCGCTGCTGCCGCCGTCATCCCCGCTCCGTCGCCTGGCACCCCCTCGTGAACCCCAGCATCCTGGCTTCCTTACTGAGCTCCTGAATCTGGGGGGGGCTTTCGGCCAAAGCTGTAAGTCACGCTCGGAAATAAACGTGCTGACCCTGAAAGAAACGGGGACCCTCCTGGGATGGGGAGGGGGGGGGAATGCCACGCTCGCCCGCTGCCGATGCTCTCCCCGGGGACACGGACCACCCCAGGCGCCTCCGTCCCTCCGCCCGCCGGGTGCTGGCTGCTCCCCGGTGATGCTCACGAGGTTTTTCCCCTTTTTCCCTTCCTTCCCGGAATCGCTGCGGGGACGGAGGAATTTCGGGGCCTGGGGAGCCACCCTGACCTTTCACCGCGGCATCTGCCGTGGCCCCATCCTGCCACCGCATCCGACTGCAAATAGCAGAGACACGGAGCAGCTGCTGGAGATAATCCGGGGCCGGATCCTGCCTAAATCCCTTTCCCGGGCTCAGGCGCGCCCCCCGAGCTGGAATCTTTGGGCT